GACTGATAACTCTTTACATAGTGTTGCTTTCTCACAGCTACCTTCATATAAACGCTGACTAAAATTTCATACCATTATCATAGAGATGGGTTGGGAGTTATACTCCCCTTGGCTAAAACTTAAGCTATAATGGCTCGCATACACTTTATCAATTTACGAACACTTAATTAACTGGAGATATCGTACAGTATACTACCTATAGCACAGCTATTATAGCTATATTGATTTTACTCATTCCATAAGCGATCCGTTAGATAATCAGGACATTGAGTTTACGACATAAATCTCACAGCCATACGTCGAATCAATTATTTTCAGGGGTCCATACGAAACTCTGGTACTTACCACTAGTATTATGGAAAAAGAAAACACATTATATATATATATATATATATATATAAGTAGTATTTTTTTCTTGTTTGTCATATAACTGAAGCTTACCACACATGTGGCTTTTATATTTGTTTATTATTAATATAAACAGAAGACACTTGTACTGTGAATACTTTAAGCAGCTAACAGAGTGTTCCAATGTGACTTGTTGGGGCACTCGAAAATACTAATTTGTCCTTTTATTGTTATTTTTCCTCAAATCTGAACAACTTACAATCAGCAAACGTCGTATTCAAGTGAGTTTGTGAACGAAAACGTCGGCCACACATGCACTCGAACCTTCGACCTCCTGAAAGCTAGACCACAAAACTAGCCAGTAGACCACACCGGCCTACAATATCATTTCCTTACACTGATTAATTATTTAAAATATTTATGACTAATAAAACTTACACACTTTTAATGAGCAGACCAACTCGTTACCCAGAGAACTTGGGGAAATGTAGCTACAATATGTCATGCACACCTACACCAAGCCATCAATGGTGGCTGACACAAACGTATTTGATCTCTGTACTCTATAATTCTCCTTTCCTCCGTAACTGTATATTCTACTTTCTAGGGTTAAATAGAGCAACGCTCCTAGGATATCGTCCACTGATGGGGGTTGCGAGCACTTGAATGTCAAACTGTCGCAAAATGATTGGTGCGTGACATCGACATTACGTGAAAATTTTCAGAAGCGGTCAAATCAAGACATTTTTAGATTTGAATTGAGTTCAGCCACACTATGTCTGATAACGTTCATTCTTCAAGTAACGAAGACGATGCCATCGTGATGATGCATGATATAGGATGAATCTTCAATGCACCGCGCAAATTTCAAAAAGGGCAGTTGTAACAGTATCGAAAGTCATTACGTGTAACTTTATTAATGCAGGTTTGTTTTCCTTATTGCAGGACAACAGAAAGTGAACGTATTAGAAGAAGAAGAAGAACAAAGCTTGCGCAAACTAAACCGGCTGGATGATGAGTAAAACTATTTTGTAACAGACTTCTCTTTTTGTACAGACCCCGCGAATTTTAATTTTAAAAAATAAACGTCCATTGTCCTCCATCTCTCGTTCTCTCTGTGGTGTAGAGTGTTCAGTTAACATTGTGTGTGTTGTGGCTTTAGGTCGTCCTGCCTTCCAGTGACTGCTGATTACACGTGTTACAACTGGTGTCGGAGGTGAGATGGAAAAACGCGATGAGAGCCTAGACGAACCCCCTCTGATTCCAATCAGGGCTACTCCCAGTTCAACCCCACACCAACCACCACTGCTCGAAACATCATCAGATTACTCCGTTTGGAAAGTTAAAGTCACAGCGTACCTGCAGAGAGTCCCATTGACCGAGCATTTCAACTACCTTGTTTCCTATCTGAGCGATGAAGCAGTACGCAGAGCTATAGCGAACGGTTTTGCGGCCAGTAACACGCTCCCACAAAACTGGAGGATTTTAGACGACTGTTTTTCCCTGCCTGTTGACACCAACAGATGACAATTCAGTTTTTGTCTCGCCATCAGCAACCTCAGGAAAGCCCCATCGACTATTTTCACTCATTGCAGCAGCTAGCAACCCAGGCATTCCCTAGCCTGGACATTTTGGGGCGAGAAGAAATTACACGCTCCCGTTTATTGAAGGACTGCTGCCAGGTGCACTGCGGGAACATCTACTTCAAGTGCCACCAGAAGGAGGGGTAGCATACCCATGTCCAGCACCAGGCACTGAGGACAGTGCCTCATGGAGAGAGGGGATAGGTAACAGTATCGAAAGTCATTACGTGTAACTTTATTAATGCAGGTTTGTTTTCCTTATTGCAGGACAACAGAAAGTGAACGTATTAGAAGAAGAAGAACAAAGCTTGCGCAAACTAAACGGCTGGATGATGAGTAAAACTATTTTGTAACAGACTTCTCTTTTTGTACAGACCCCGCGAATTTTAATTTTAAAAAATAAACGTCCATTGTCCTCCATCTCTCGTTCTCTCTGTGGTGTAGAGTGTTCAGTTAACATTGTGTGTGTTGTGGCTTTAGGTCGTCCTGCCTTCCAGTGACTGCTGATTACACGTGTTACACAGTGAATTTTGTACTTGTTGTGATTATACTTGCTTTTGGTACTTATTGCACTAAAAAGCATTCTTGGTCTACTTTAACTAAGAGTTCTTTGGTTAAAGGTTGAAATTTTTGCTACATTTTGTCCTGGGTACCTGTTTTTAGTCCTTGACTAACACTTGTATTCACATTGTTATCATTTTTTGTTTTTAAACCTTTAAATCGAATTAAAATGGTTGGTAAGACTCACAAATGTGGGCAACCAAACTGTTTGTTCCCTGTGGAAGAGGGGATGCAGTGTGACGAATGCCATAAGTGGTTCCACAAAATGTGCACCCGCTTAAGTCCCACCGCATACAAAAGATGCTCGAAGCCTAACTCGCATTGCCTTTGTTTGTTCTGCTGTACGGATAACAAGGTACTAATACAGGAGGCTATGGACCTATTGGCTTTAGCCTGCAAGAAAAACGATGGCACATGCGCTGACAACACGGGCACTGACAGTGACGAATGTGTCAGTGTAGTACCTGCTGTTACGCGACGCTTCAGACGACCGACGCAAAAGTGAAATCTCCGTTAACATCAACAGGGGGAGTAATACCAGCTGGTACTGACATTGGTAACAATACACCTTTAATGGGAACCGACGAACTGGATAAAACCGTCACCGTTCCAAATAGTTCCAATGTCCTGAGGGATGAAAAATGGACTACGGTACGTAGGAAACGAAACGAAAAGAAAAAAGCTGTAGGCAGTACACAGGTAGTTAGTAACTCACTGATGGACTCAAATTGTGAGTCACAAACTGCACTACCAAAATCTGATGGTAAGAGTGAAACCCATCCTGGCGTGACTGAGAAGAAAAATCAAATAATATCTAATATTATTGTGAGCGAATTGCGGGAGTCAAACGACCCTGATTCTAAAATTAGACACGCGCATGATTTAGAAAAGCTAGGAGAATATATTCGTAGTATTTTACCAGATAACTCTAAAGGAGTTCAGGTCAAAAATTGGTTAGAATAGGCATGAGGACAGTGTTGAACCCCGACCATGCAGACTCCTTAAGGTAATCCTAGGATCGGAGAAGCGGCGGGATCTCCTGTTAAGTAGCGCAAGTTGTCACGACAATTCTGACATCCGAGTTAGACCTGACATGTCTCTCGAAGATAGAATAAAAAGGAAGAAAGCACTAGCTGAACTTGAAACCCGTCGGCAAAACGGCGAGGAAAATCTCCGGCTAGTGGGTTTTCGGATAGTCAGGTCTTGGAAGCGAATGCTACCAAGGCCTGTGCGGATAGGCCGTTCTACTTAGGAGTTTTATATGCCAACGTTCGTAGTCTGCGAAATAAGTTCTATGAACTAGAAGCACTAGTGGACAGGTTAAAGCCACTCATTGCAGCACTGACAGAAACTTGGTTAGTCCATGACTTAGACGTTATTCCAGAATTATCCGGATACCATTGCCTCAGGAGTGATAGACATAAATGTAGAAAAGGAGGTGGCGTCCTGTTATATATAGCCAATAGCATAAATATCCGCTGCTCTGCTAGCGAATCCCATGATAGCGGTACTTGCGAAGTCATTAGCTGTAAGTTGGCTATCGGATGTAGTACATTTATGCTCGGTGTCATCTACTGCAGCCCAATCTGCTTAGCTGATGACTTTATTTTAGAGCACATTCATCTTTGGAGTACAAATACCAGATGCTTGATAATAGGGGACTTTAGTGCACCTGATATTAGTTGGACTAAGATGACCACAGAAGGATCTATAAACTCCTTTGATAGTAGGTTCCTGATAACAATAATGGAGCATACACTAGTGCAGCATGTATTCAAACCCAGACGTTTTGGTGTTAACCAAGGTTCTTCTCTGTTGGACTTGGTAATCACTCATGAGACTGAGGATATTGTCGACCTAAATATTCTTCCACCGTTAGTGAATAGTGATCACGCTGTTTTGTCATTCGCGTTTAGAACTAGGGACATGTTATATGATCAGGTTACACCTCGCCCAAATGTATGGAAAGCTAACGTATCAGTCATTCAGAAATGCGCCGCTAAAACAGATTGGTTGTAGATACTAGCTTATCAGTTGAAGAAGCATGGTCTGTATTTAAAGGTAAGTTTAGTCTAGTTGCGTCCCCGTTCATACCATACCTGGTGCCATGAAGGCCGACTAATAGTCCACCATGGATAGCTAAACCAGTCAGGAAACTTCTTAGAAAAAGGAAGAAGCACTGGAATGTGTTCATCTCTACTGGCTTAGAACAATACAAATCCAGTTATTGTGAGATTAGGAATACATGTAAAGCGTTAATAAGTAAAACTAGACTATCATATGAAAAACAATTGGTTAGGGATTCTAGATATAGTCCGAAACGGTTATTCTCGTATATAAAAAGGCGAACTCAGAGAAGCGATGGAATTCCATCACTTTTGATACAAGAAAATCCGTTAATCTTGGCAGAAAATGATGCCGAAAAGGCTGAAGCTTTATCGGAATATTTAGTAAAGTATTTCCTATCGGTAATGAGGAACGACTCATCGTGACCGTGACGGCTCGCTGATGGATCCTGTAGTCATTGAGAAAGATACTGTTTTAAGGCTACTTCAGCATCTCAAACCTGATAAGTCCAGTGGTCCTGATGATATTCATCCTAGGATTATGAAAGCCATATCAGATGAAATTGCTGAACCATTAGCGATACTATTCGACATGTCTCTGAGACAGTCCAGACTTCCTAGAGACTGGAAAGACGCCATAATAAGTCCGGTGTATAAGGCTGGGAGTAGGGATTTAGTTAGTAACTATAGACCCGTTAGCTTAACTAGTGCAGTTGTAAAACTGATGGAGAAAATCATTCGGATAGTCGTTATAAACTATGTTGAAGGGCAAAATCTTTTCTCCAGGGCACAACATGGTTTTCGGAAAGGCCTATCTTGCTTGACAAATCTTCTCATTGCACGAGAAGATTGGGCTGCGGCAAAGGATCGGAATGTTCCTGTGGATGTGATTTTCATAGATCTAAGTAAGGCCTTCGATAAGGTCTCCCACTCTGGTCTTAAATTCAAACTGGAACGTTTTGGAATCCATTATACAGTCGTGGATTGGATAAGTAACTTTCTCCATGACAGAAGACAAAGGGTAAGGGTTAATGGGGCTCTCTCCTCACGGGTACCTGTAAAAAGTGGGGTTCCCCAAGGTACAATCCTAGGTCCTCTTCTCTTTTTACTTTATGTAAATGAATTGCAAACTGTAGCAAAATCATCCGTCCTACTCTTCGCTGATGACATAAAGATTTGGAGACCCATACATAGTATGTTCGATAGAATGGTATTACAGGATGATCTTAGCTCATTGGTGGCATGGTTAGACAGGTGGTCACTAGAAGTAAATCCTAATAAGAGTGTAGTGATGCAGTTAAATAACTCTGATGAATCGTATCTCTATACACTCCGTGGACTCGTGCTACCCAAAGTAAGAAACTATAAAGATTTAGGAGTCATATTAAGTAATGATCTCAAAACCACTAGTCACTGTAAAGCTGCTGATGCAAAAGGCTATAGGGTACTATAGTCAATTCGTGGGTCTTTCTAGTATTTAGACGATGAAATGTTTCGATTACTATACCCGATTCATGTGCGACCACATTTAGAATACGGGATTCAAGCAGCGTGTCCTTGTTTCAAGTATGAGGTAGATATGCTGGAAAGAGTCCAAAGACGAGGTACTACGATGGTAAAAGGTCTCTCTGGTCTGTCATATGAAGACAGACTGAGACACCTTAACCTATTCCCGTTATCTTACCGTATAATACGGGGCGATCTAATATTGGCTTATCGTATACTGAACGATGACCTTGGTATTAACATGTCTTATCTCTTGCTTCCGTCTAGGACCGATCATTTGAGAGGACATTCGAAGAAAGTTCAAAAACCGAGATCAAATCGTTTACATCTGGAGTTTCGTTTCTCGCACCGAGTAGTGAATTACTGGAATTCTCTACCGGAACATGTAATATCAGCACCTTCTGTTAACATATTCAAAACGAGATTGGACCTCCACAGTATTACAAACTGCAAGGATTAATATAGGTCGATAGACCTCCTATCCTTATTCCTGAAGACTGATATTATGTTATCTCGAAGATTTACAAGTTGGGACAATTTTGAGACCTGTTTGAAAGAAGTACATAAGGTAATATGAGCTCTGTGGTTAATAATTATTTTTTAGTATACGCATACTAAGTACGTTATGTCAGTATGCAAAAAGAACAGTGATGATCCAACTCTGAAGTACTTTTTCGTGAGATATGTCTGTACATATGGACGTAAACGCAGTTCGTCAGAGTCAGATGCTTGCGTTCAGGATGTAGATGATGATAGTAATAATCATTCTTCTGAAGAGCATACAACTTCTAACTCGCCAACACAACCTAGGCAAAGGAGACGACGTCGGTCATCTACGTATGCCTTACTTCAAATGAATTTATCCTTCAGGTCGAAATATTGCCACTGTCAATCAGGATTTTGGGTCCGGGCAGTAAATGGTGAGTTGAAACTCACCTCTATTAAAACCGTGCACAACCATCCTTGCACAGAAGGATATATTTCTGTCGATCCATCGAAACGACAGTTGACCTCAAGTGAACGCTTGTATTTAAGAACGTTTCTACTGAGTAATACACCAACTCGTAGCTTACGGTATCTGGTTTCTTTGAAGTTCAATAAACAGCTTACCAAGGACGATATCGCCAGAATGCGTTCACAGTTGTACCCAGGTTGTTGAACTCACATTGTAATTAATTGAGTTTAGACACTAAAAATATCAATGACATTTTACAGCGCATTCAAGCGAATACTGAAGTTAAAGTATTCAATGAAAATGGGAACATGTCTATGATTTGCTTCAGCCGCAGAGAGCAAATAGCTGTTTACCACGCGTTCCCGGAGGTAATATGTATTGATTCGACTTATCAGACCAATAAAGTCGGGTAAGTGACGATTAGTAATAAATTTATCTGAAAGTTTTCCACTGTTCCAGCTAGTGGTGACTGATAGTCTTGGGCAAGGGCACACTGTTATGTATGCTCTTTGCAGTCAAGAACGACGCGAAGATATCGAAAAACTATTGGAATGTTTTAAAGAGATAATGTGCGGTACTTATGCTACACGCACTTTCATTATGGATTCGGCAGCGACCGAAATTTCGGCTGTGCAGTCTACGCACAGTCATTCTAACATAATACTTTGTTCATTCCATGTCCTAAGAGCGTTTTTCAGGAAGGTATGTGTTAGCTGTACAAATTATTTTCTGTAGTTCCGAAATCCTGATGTGCGCAAATGCTTGGAACACCTTGTGAAGACTAGACGGTCTGATATGTGAGCTTCGCTTTTCATAGCGCATTATATTCAGATTTACTCGAAAGTACGAACATCTAAGGACGCATTTCCCACGGGCGTATGATTACATAAAAGATTACTGGATTGCCAGGAAGTCAATGTGGGCTCGCTGTTACCGGCGACATGTATTAAGCCTGGGCAACCACACAAACAACCGTGTCGAAAGTGCTCATAAACACCTAAAAGAATGTCTCAGAAGAGGTGATTCCCTGCTATTGACGTTCTGGAAAATTTGGAGTAAAACAGACATTGACCTACGTTTGCGTCCTTATGACGCTGTGAAGGATCTTCAACGTTTTCCAATTCTTCAGGTAAGAAATATAGTTAAATGTATCATTAATTCCAGGTTCCAATGTCATTTCGAACTCTTCTAAATGAGTTCACATCTTTTGCAGCTAAAATTGTAGCTGTAAATTATAAACGTGTTCGGACAATGAGACACGAATTTATAGAAGGAGAATACATCCGGTGCTACGACAAGGGTATGATGTATGTTGTTGATACTTCACGTGCACGATGTGCTTGTGAGCGTTTCAATGACTACATGCTGCCCTGTGGTCATATTTTGTATGCACATTCTAAAGATCTGATTCGTGGAGGTATGTGTGTTCCTTTATCTCTATAAGTTTTGTAGACTTATTTCGACATAGCAACCGGTGGACAAGAAAATACATAATGGACCTGGTTCTTCGTGCGCTGGACAACATCTCAATCTCTACAGGGAGTGATGATCTGCTAGAGAAGTTCACTAGCAACTACCACTCAATCCATGCTCTTAGTGAACCTTTGGCAAGTAAACTCATCCGTTCATGCCTCGAAGCATCGGAAGACATATGCGCACAATTGATGAGTTCAGTCGGTGCTAATGATGAAGCTACAACGTCAGAATCCATTGTTAATACAGACCATAGCTATGCTTCTTGCTAACAAGAAGTTCTAATATTGTAATCTTTTTAGTTTTACATAAATTCATTTATATGGCCATTGACTTATTCTTATAGCGTAACGGCAGGGAGTGTACTGTGCAGTCTTATGTGGCTGTGAGACAGGGATGTTGTTTCGCGTTCTTGTGTAATAATTACCAGTTTGGCGCACACGCGATTAGTCATACATACCGTTTACCAAATACTGCTACCTTGAACATGGTGTACCATACTAGCAGTTCGAATTTCGACCTGTCACGATAGATAAGAATTGCCGTAATTAAAAGACTGGTGCGTTATAAATGAAAACGTTTATTAAAGTTTGAATCTAGCACAAATGATCCATTAATAAATAACTTCTATTTCTCAGGAATTGTTCCCGTTAGGTCTGTGAACACTTGCGAAGCTAGCTGGAAATAAGATAGACAGGAAAGTTATTTCAGTATAAATGTTTACCAGAAACTAGTATAAAAACGGAAACCAGTATTCAATTACAGATCGAAAGTGCATTTAGCACACCCTTCCTTTGGATAGTCAATCACGCTTATTTCCTTTATCTCTTGCGTTGCTTAGGAAAGTCTGGGTCACAACATACACGGATTGTATTATTTAATTCTTTGGACAGGTTGCACTTCGGAAACTTAGACGATGAACATATATAAAGACTACTGTGTGAATTTACTTTGAATCGTCCTGTGTAACCTGCAATTCTTGATGCATATTCTGTTCTAGTCCCACGTAAGTTATGAGTAATTGTCATTTACGGCATCAGCACGTAAGCTAGACAGGCCTTGGTTGATTTCCGAAGATCATCACATAGGATCTCACACAATCTGGTCACCTTAGATCAAGATATCTTGACTATCGAATCGTACTTTTCAGTGCTTTCTCGTGACAGCTTTATATCAGTACTTATTTCTGATATTAGGTATTTTTGCAATAATACCGGCAGCCAAAACATTGTAGCTCCCCAGACAACCCAAAAAGGGAAAATAAAGGGGTAAATGCTTTGGTAGCGAAAGGGGAAAACACATCAGAATGTCGCATTTTTCGCCTGTCCAGAGGAAATAATGTGGATTTCCCCCTTTTTCGCCGTTTTGTCGATAAATTACTCACTTTTCGCCTAAATATCCCCCAAATTACCGAATTTTCGCCTAACTGTCCGCAGAATTGTTTACTTTTCGCCTAAATGTCTGCTGAATTGTTTACTTTTCGCCTAAATACACACAGAACTCCCTATTTTCCATCCATTGACATAACCCCAAAGGTCTACTATGTTCACCTTTATTTTCAACAACAGACCAAAATAAATCTGCAATACAGTGAAAGACCGGCATGTTTTTGAAAAATTTTATTTAAAAGGTGAAGCGTATTATTGTACAACACTAGAGCAGAAGCTTAAGCATCGATTGTTTTGCATATCCAATGCAATTGCTAATTCATTGTTATTTGAAATTATCTGCAAAAGAAGAAACACGTGATGTATTATTTATAAGGAATGTGCATTTATTCAAAAGTTCACTGACACTCAAACACACATTCTCAACACTTCTACAGTTTCCCATGTAAGTAAAAAAGTAAGCTGTTTGAAAAATATTTATTGAAATGTAGGTACAACATCAAAACAATTGCACGGCTATTGAGAATTGAGGTAGTCGTCCCGTGAATTCAGAAGTTAAAAAAAGAAAAAAGTCACAACCATATCTCAAAGACATGCTTTGGTACAGCCAAATACTTGTGTAGCGTGGTGTCGAGTTGAGATTAACTATGAACACCGCTACAGAAAAAACACGTGCCAAGTTAATCAGAAGGCGAAGGTTGGACGTAACCAAATAAATCCATAAAATCCCCGAGAAGCCAAATATCAGAAGACAGTTAATGGACCAAATCGAGATGTATTCGCTGGCGATCTCGTGGCATCGAAAGGATATCGAGATCGTGCCAGAATACAAGCTTGGTTACAGAACGTAACCGAATTCGCGCGAAGTTACAATCAAAGTGTGAGTAAAAGAATGTAAGCACAAAATAGCTGTCATTAGCACAGTCAAACAAAAGCACATTAAAATAAACACTGGTACAGTTGGTTA